GTGCCTAGCTTTCCACGCTGAAGGGGAAGAAACCTGATTATTTGTTTTTTGTTTTTTAAAAATTCAGTGGTGCTTCCAGCCTTCATCCTTGATAGGGTAATGAATGTCACCAGGGGTGTAATGAAAGAGACCTCCTTAGAGTTGCAGCCACCAACCTTTCTTAGAAGAAATTAACTATGTCTTTTTAGGCAGACAGAAAAAGCCAGTTCACAGTGTAGACCGTGAACAGCTTCAGTCTATTATCCCATTATCCTTGCTGTCTGAGGTCAATGTGCTGGCTCATGTCAAACTGAAAAAGAAAACATCTAGGATCATTTTTGGAAACAGGTTCTACTGAAATCAATGAAATCTCTCCCTACCGCTTGAGTGTATATAGTTTTGACTATGGTCATATAAATGGTATATGGTAGTTCAAGGAAATTTGGGGGTTCAGGATAACAATAATTTTAATATTGTCGAAGGCTTTCATGGCCAGAATCACTGGGTTGTTGTAGGTTTTTTTGGGCTATATGGAGATAATGCCTCTAGAACATGGCCATATAGCCCGAAAAAACCTACAACAACCCAATTTTAATATTGTCATATTTGATTGAGAGAGCTGCTATCATAGAGTTATAGAACCAGCAATAGAAAGACATCAAGCAGATACTCATTTGAGCATCATACCTTCTCATCTCATTTTGGAAGTTTCTGTAGTCCTTTGCAAACCTCCAACAATTTTTTTCAAGAATTACAAGATAATATAATTAATTAAGCTGCACCAAATATTTGCATTTCCTGTTTGGGGGTTTAACTTATCTCAAAGGAAAGGAATCCTTTCACAGGACAGTGAAAGTATTGCCCCTGCCCACATCCCTCCAAGACTCCACATGTGTGAAGATTAATTGTTGTTGTGAATGGAGAAATGTGTAAGTATTCTTGCAGAGGTTACTATCTGCCACACAAGGACAACAGAGATAAAGACAGGTAGTTGCGGTTTGTACCTCTGTTTCTTAAAATGAACCAGCCAGTCAAAAATCATGTAGTGTATCCAATGACATTGTAATGGTTAATACAAGTAAACCATGTCTGTGGGATGATGATGTTGGTCAAAAGAATCAATGGTTTATTTATTTGGCAGATATTTCCATCTTCCTTTGATGCAGTTCTGTCCAAATGTCCAAAATTTGATGCAGTTCTGCCAAAATGTCCACCTCCTCTTCTTTTGGCTCATCCCTGGAAATTAGTTGATATTCCACAGGTAATGTTGGTTCTGCCATTTTTTGAATTTCCCTAGGCGATAAGAATATGCCAAGCTGATTTATACAATTTCAAATTAACTATCTCAGAATGAAAGACTGTGAAGGTTACTTTTTCAGGCTATAACTCCAGTATCCACTAGTTATCATGGGGAAAAATTTGCAGTTTAAAAAGTAGTATTTTAAAGTTTTGCCTAGTACTGTTTACCTGACTGGCTATAACCATTTACTGGTCTGACCAGGGGCCGCCTTAGTTTTGTTACCTGAGATATCTTTTAGCGCAAGATTCTATAGACTGAAAATGAGATGTGCATGCATATGATATGCTTCACCTCTGAGTTACAGCTATTCCCCTGAGTGATGACTCCTCCTGGAAACAGCTGTCCTGTGTCCTAGACTAATGCTCTAAGCACTGTCCTTCCCCAGGAAAGCCCTTGTCATTTCTGTACTAAGCAGAGTTAAACATTTTTCTTGTCAGTTGCTAATGGTACCATTTACACAGAATGCACAGCAGCCAGGTTGAGTTTATGCTGAGGGATGATGACCCCCAGCTAGTTTGGATTTCTTAGGAATTTCTCCAGGGGCATATCCTGCCCTCTGCAATGGGAGAGTATAGTATTAAATGTGTTGTTGAAGGCTTTTATGGCCAGAATGACCTCACAATCTCTGAGGATGCCTGCCATAGATGCAGGCAAGATGTCAGGAGGGAATGCTTCTGGAACATGGCCATACAGCCCGAAAAACTTACAGCAACCCAGTATAGTATTCCTTTCTCTCACCAGTTGCTTACTGTGGTTTTCTGGTATCATAAATTAGCAGAACAAGAAGTGTAAGACAAACAAGGTGCATTTCATTTGTTTAAACCTTTAACTTTAAAGCGTGATGACCCTACTTTTCAGTGGCTGTCCCACAGCAAAAACTTTACCAAAGTTGCTTACAGATTTCAGTAATGAGACAGCCTGTGCTGTCAGGCTTAATAAAAGCCTGGAGATAAAATGAAAGGGACTGAAGGACTGAAAGAGTGGGAAGAATTGGTGAGATTGTTGGTTCATATGTTAGAGCAGTAGTTGCTGGACCTTCCAGTGTAGTAGGGCAGTGAATATACTGTGGGTTTTGGTCTGCAAGCTACTGAATCTATTGTGACCTGTTCTGCTATTTTCTTTATATTTGTGAGCTCCTTCTTAACCTTTTTCATTTACTCTCAGGTGAAATAATTTTCAAGACTAATTTAGCCTTTCTGGTGGCTGATGGGGGAGCAGGGGCTACCACTAGAAACTGGGTGGTGACAGCTTGGGAACCTGCTTGTACTTCCCTAATCCTCTTCCACCAGAAAATAAGACCCCTTTGAAATTTGATCAATTGACCCATTCAATTAAGCTCTACTCAAGTGACCATTATGTCATGCTGAGATCTTTTTTACAATAAGCCCTTGGTATCTGCAGATATTTGGTTCCCGGACCTCCCATGGTTACCAAAATACGTGGATGCTCAAGTCCCAATAAATACAATGGCAGGATAAAGTAATGTGCCTTGTATAAAATGACAAAATCAAGGCTTGCTTAATTTTGTGGGGAGGATGCTATTTAAAGCAGTGTATGTTTGAATTCATAGGTACAGAGTCTGTGAATACAGAGGACTGGCTGCATTGAGATAGGGAATGTTGGACATTGGAGTTTCAAATGTTACAATCCTGCCTATTACCAAAATCCTATGATGAATGTTAGCTGAGGGATTCAGGGAGTTGTACTGCAAAAAAATAACTTTCACAACTTCTGACATCAGATCAGTGAGTCATGCCACATTATTGACCAAGCCAACAGTGACAAGATCACTTCTATTGTTGATTTTATTAATATACTTTCAATCCTTCAGTTTGTTCACAACAGTCTTATAGGAACATGGTTCAGGGATCTCTTTGATAGCGAAAGGAAAAAAGCAAAAACATCCCATGTGCCATCTTAATATTTCCAAAAAAAAAATCCCAAATCCCCAAGACATGCATTGCATAGGGTACTAGTGGAATGCTACCAGATGATGATTTATTACTGCTTTTCGCATGAGATAAACAAGACATCTGAAAGCAGCTTAAAATAGTAACTCAGCTAGGGCATGAGGGGGAACAAGTTGATTTAAAAATAAAATGCCACCCCCCCCCCCAGGCTTTGGGATTTGCTTCTTTCCTGGTGCCAGGTGCAAAGCTTGTGGATACTGGCTGCTTCTTGCTTCAAATCAAGGAAGCTGGAGAGCTGACAGGCAAGATCTTGAGGGCTTGAGCAGATGGCTCCTCTACAACTAGGATAGCAATCTCACCCTCTTCTTCTCAGAGCTAACCAGGGTCATCGTGCTGTTCAAACTTTTGTGGCATTTGGTTTGGGAGGCTTTGTGTTACTTTTCTTACCTGACTTTATTCTTTCAAAGGTTGCCAGTTTAGAAGCTGTGTTTGCACAGCAGCAGCTTTTTGGAATGGGGAAATTTGTAAATTGTTTTGCCAGACGTTGTGCAGTTTCTCTCCTCATCCCTATTGGCATCAGCATTGCTTGTCTGTTTGGCTTATCTAGCTCCTTCCTAGGTTGCATATTCTGTTGTTGTTGGGTTCTTAATTTCTTTAAGAATTGGACATCAGAAAGATTAACTCTATCTAGTCTGGCATTCTTTTTCTAACAGATTCCAGCCAGATGCCTATAGAAACTCAGAAGCTGAACTCAAGGGCACCTCTTCCTTTTTTTCTCTCCTCGACATCTGTGGCACTCAGAAGCACACTTGTTTCTGTACTTCTCATTTTACAAATCAAGCAACAGAAAGGGAGGGAGAGTGTTGATATGCTAACCCAGCAAAAACACCCACGACAGCTGAGTACAGGACTAAGGCAGATAATATTTTCTGCCATTCTTAGTTACTGATTGAAGTTGTGTGCCTTTCAGCCCGAACACATGCTTCTTCCCAGAGCAGAAGAACCTGAATATTGCAAAAGGAACATCTGTCAGTACACACATCTGATGACCAGATGTTTTCAGCACAGTCACTGAATTTCACTTTAGCACTGTTCCAGAGGGATTTCATAATGTAAACAAGCTCTATCTCTAAAGTGAATATCATGCAGTCTGGAAGTTATTGCACCTAACTGCTTGCAGAAATTGGATGCTTGACATGGACATGTCCTTCGCTGCTGTCTGTGCTTTTGGGTAAAGATATTAATATCCCATGCAGTGAAACCTATGTACTGGAGCAAAATGTATTTAAAAAGAAAATATTTTAGCCTGAAGCATTTACCAGACCCATGTTTATGAGATAAAAACTCACCTGGATACTGGCAGATGTAAACAACAGTTGGGATGGAAAGGGAAAGAACCAGCTGGGAGTGTATGAAGAGTTTATTTCTCCAGACCTTATCCTCTGTGTTGTGGTGCTTAGAAATGAAAAATGATCCATTGGATCTTTCTTATGAGTGACTGCAGTTTAAGATATGGTTTGATACTTATGTGGTTTTCCTCCATACTTTCTTAAGAGACTTTAAAGGTTTACTAACAGAGTTTTCCAAGTGTATTTGCTGATTTGAGATGCATCTACACTGTAGAATTAATGTAGTTTGACACTGCTGTAACTGCCATGGCCCAGTGCTATGGAATCAGTTGTATTTTTACAATGTCTTTAGCCTTCGCTGCCAAAGAGTGCTGGTATCTCACCAAACTACCGTGATTTCATAGCATTAACCATGGTAACTAAAGTTATGTTAAAATGCATCAATTCAACAGTGTAGATGCACCCTTGGAAGCAGACCTTCAGATCCTAGGCCTTCTACCATGCAAGGCAAGAATCACTCTGCCTATGGAATGCTCTCCCACAGAAGCGTACACAATGCCTACATTGTGAGCACTGGCATCACTGGCTTAGAGGGTCTGAACTTTGGGGTTGGAGGTAGGTACCTTTTGCTGTTCTACCTCAAGCAGGAAAATTTCTTGGGCTAGTCCTGGCAAGATCAAACATTCCTGTTTCTTCCATGCTGTAGTCCCAAACTGACATGACTATACCAGCTGTTCTGAAAAAACAAAGACGGCTATGAAAGGGCAAACCACTTGACATCAGTCTGGCCCTGAGAGGCTTGGGGGTTACACTTAGTAATTCTCAGTTCTTTTCAGAAACAAGCTGTAGGACAAATTGTACAGGAGATTCCATTATACAGAGAATTATGTCCAAGGTACTAACCCACATACCCAAAGGTCACTGACCAATGTCACAATGTGATTATAAGGGCATTTGTCATTCAGTGTGTGTGTGTGTATCGCTATATCTATATAGTAAAATTAAAATGAAATAATAAATAATCAGCTTAAAACAAATAGCAGCTTACAAAGAAGATGAGTAGCTTAACCGAGAAGGCAGTGATTTAAAAATAAATCTACTCAGAACTGGTCCCAGCAGGGAAGCAACCAGATTTGCCAAGTCCAGTCTCATTTCCTGAAAGACATAAAAATGTGATAAAAATACTCTTTTCAAGGGAAGGGATTCCTAAAAGAGAACTGACACCTATGGGCAGGATCCTAGAATAAGGCAATTGAAACTGTACTTGGGTTTCTGGAGTTTAACAGACAGAAAATGTTCTTTGTTATTCATTACAGGAGAATCACGACAGACAGGTATTGATGGAGAAAGTATTGCCTGATTCCTGTTTAGTTGTGCCTCTGCTAGAGGAATAGAAGACATGTCTGTTGATGATGAACTGACTATTCCCACTGAGTGTATTTTGTGCTTTCCTTTGCAACATAAGCCTTCAAAATCAAATCTCCATTGCATACATGGATTCGGAGGTGTGTTTTCTTCTGTCAGGGAGAATCCTTGGTACTTGTACATTATTGCCACATTGCTTGTAGGGATTACAAAATGTTCTTATTACTGTAGGGATTATTGGAACATATAATGAAATGGCTTCTAGCTGGTTGGGAGAGAATGAACATAACATACTAAGTTAAGTTATAATCTGTTGTATAAGAATCAAGCAGGATCAGCAAAAAAAATTACAATATGAATCACTCCTGTTTTGGTTTCTAGCTGTCCAGAAATGTTTTGGAGTCACCATTCTACATACACTCTCTCTTTTAAAATGCTTCCCCCACTATCTTCATTTGTCTTTAATTCTTGTTGCTAATTTGTTGTTATTTGCCATTAAGCCCTGCCAGTCCATGAATGAGAAACCTCCAAGAAGGTTTGTGGCTCAGGCCCCATAAACTCTGAGCCATGACTTCTTCAATTGAGTTATGGAGGCTTTTAAACAGAGGCTGGATGGCCATCTGACATAGGTGCTTTGAATGAAATTTTCTTGCTTCTAGGCAGGAGGTTGGACTGGATGGCCCATGAGGTCTCATAGAACTCTATGGTTCTGTGATTCAATCCATGTAGTTCAATTTTCCTTCATTGCCTTCTACTTTTGTAGAGCATTATTGTCTTTTTCCAATGAAGCATGTTGTCTCATGATAAGTCCAAAAGTATTTTCCTCTTATATGTTTATGGTGATCTTTCAATTATGTAAGGAGCCACACTTGGAAAATAAGATTGCTATATATAAACAGTCTAGGCTGGAAATCTATGGTCCTCTTGTTGGTACTGGAATATAATTTCTGACCATTGCCAATGGAGCTGGTATCTAACACCTCCTAGAGAGCCCAGAGTTCTTCATCATATTATAGGATGATCTTTGGAGAAGAAACTCCTTAATAACGGACTTCAAGTCCAGCATCTAGGAAATCAGGCATGTGCCTTTAATTTGGCTTGGCTGTCAACTTAAGGTGACCTCCCATGAGGTTTCCTTAGACTAGGAATACTCAGAGGTGGTTTGCTATTTTCTTTCTTTGAAATATAGCCTGCAGCATCTGGTATTTGCTGGTGGTCTCCCTTCCCAGTACTAATCAGGGCTGATGGACCTTTATATGTAAATTCCTCAGTTCAACAGGAAACAATAACTACAGTCTACTTTGCATCTTCCTTCAATTGGTATTCAAGCTGGTGGAGTCTTACTTGCTACAAAGGAAAGGAGTGAATGACAGGAGCAGAAATGAAACAGCTGGAAAGTTCTACACCTCTCATATCTCCTTCTGCATTATGACGCTTAACCATATGTGTCTGGCAGATTTGAACTTCAAGGTAGCAACATTACTTGCATTATGTACTCATGACATGGCACAATGTTAACAGTGTACTTAATGGGTGATGGATTTTATCCTACACAACTTTCTTTCCAAACTATTAATCCTATTTAATTTATTCTGGAAAATGGTTGAATTCAAATTATACATTATTGCATGTACTTTAGCCATTATGTTGAACTCAGTGTTTTAATATTGAGTTAAAATTGTTAAAATGTTGCTTTTCTCATTGCCGAAAACCCACTTCTTTCCTCATTGCTGCTTTTTATGAACATGGCCATTCTTTTCAGGAGCAGAAGTCCTATAAACCTCACATATTATGGTAATAATAGTATTGTACAGTACATTGCTTAGGGCATAAATGTATTTTATCGTCCTGGGTTTCTTTCCATTTTAATGTATATATACATCAAATGAAGGGCTTGTTAGAAACCTTACTGTAGAGGTCAAGTACACGTGAGGGCCAGGCATATTCAAGGGTGGTATAGCACAAGAAAAATGTTGAAACATTTCAGGATAGTTGGAACTATAAAGCCTTTATTGCATTTTACAAGTTTATATCCACAGTTTTGTAAGTCCAGTACTTTTCCATCATTTTTAATATTAAGTTTGTCTAACAGAAGTGTTGTCCAGCTGTACTGCTCTGTGTAACCTCTTGGACTACCACTGCCTTTGATAGCAGTATGGAAACTTTCAGTAACAAAATTACTAACAGTTACTCTGCTCTAGAAGCATTCTCTCCTGATGTTTCGCCTGCATCTATGGCAAGCATGCTCAGAGGTTGTGACCTCACAACCTCTGAGGATGCTTGCCATAGATGCAGGCAAAACGTCAGGAGAGAATGCTTCTAAAACATGGCCATACAGCCCAAAATAACCTACAACAACCCAGTGATTCCAGCCACAAACGCCTTCAGCGTTACTAACTCGCTGGTTTGTTCACATTACACTAGTATCCATCTTTCAGTTTTTAGGTCAATGTAGAGCCCTAAATGACTTGTGTACAAAGTACTTGAAGAATCAACTTTTTCTCTTGTTACTACCCAGGATTTAAATCTTAAGAGGCTTCCATAAAGACAACTCTGTCAAATGAAGTACAGCAGGGTGGATATCAGTGGAAAGGCCTTTTCCCCAGTGACTGTACAAGAGTGGAATTCTCTCCTTGATTATTTGGTATTTACATTCTGAGTTATGCTCCTTCCAAGGGAGACACAGTTGACCTTCTCCTGGTTTAGTTTTCACTGGGAGGCAAAGACCTTTTTATTTAAACAGATAGTCAACTTCTAACTAGTTGAGGGAGAAAGACTTTTAAATGGACTGTTCTTTCTTTATTATTAAACATTGGTGTGTTTCAAATGGCTCTGTTTTTATGTTTGAATTGGCTGGTTTGATAGTTTTAAAACTTTTGTAATATATATTATTTTAACTATAAATTCCTTTCACTTAGCTTGTAAACTACCCTGGGTCCTATATTGGGAGAAGAATGGGATGCAAATTAAATAATTAACCCAATCATCAATTAGTTTGACTTTAGTTGATGATCATTTTTATTATTCCTTCCAGTGTATAACCATTTGAGATCTTCAGCACTTTTAGTTTGATCATATTAATGTTTTGCTATGGTTGGCTTTATTTATAAAATGATCTGTCTGTGTGCCTTTCTGTGGTTGTTTAATATTAGGTGTTTGCTGGTTGTTTTTATTTGTTACCTATCTAGAAGATGTTGTTAGCAGATGGTGTGGCAATAGAGCAGCATTCATTTGGTTGCCACTTTGAGGCAGACCACTGACAAAGCTTCTCCAAATGTAAGGAAGACACCTTCAAAAATGCCCAAGGTGTTCATGCTATCCATGTTCCCAATCTTAAGCCAACCAAGTCTTAGCCCAGAGAAGGGAACCCTAGCCCAGAGCTTCTTAAACTATAGGTTGGGATCCTATAGCATCCTATACAGCATGACTGTATTTTGGGGTCACCTCCCTCTCTTTCTCCTGCATGCACACATGTCTCTCACACACCTCTCCCTGCTTTCCCTTTTCTCCTCTCCTTTCTCTGTCTCAGTCCCTCACATGTTAGCATCTTCCTCTTACACACATCTCTTTCTGCTTTCCCCTCTTTCTTTCTATCCCACTCTCATGTGTGTCTCTCAGGCTTCATTCTTTCTTCCTTCCTTCCTCTTTCTTCCATGCACATCTCTCTCTCTCTCTCCCTCCCTCCCTTTTCCCATTCTTTCCATCCTTTATATACTTAGGTAAAGGTAAAGTCCATTCATGTCCAACTCTGGGGCTTGGTGCCCATCATTTTTCAGCTGAAGAGCTGACATTGTTCATAGACACCTCCAAGGTCAGGTGGCCAGCATGACTGTATGGAGCACCACAGGAGCGGTACCTATTAATCTATCCACATTTGCATGTTTTCAAACTGCTAGGTTGGCAGAAGCTGGGGCTAATAGTGGGAGCTCACACCGCTCCCTGGATTTGAACCTGTGACCTTTCAGCAAGTTCAGCAGCTCAGCAGTGTAACCCACTGTGGCACCGGGGGCTCCATATATATACTTTTATATCCATTTATATACTTAGGGTCATATAAACATTTGTTGGGTAAAAAGAGGTTGTGAGTCAAAAAAAGCTTACGAAGCTCTGCTCTAACCTGAAGTACAAAGACAACTTGCATCTGTTGCCCATCTAGCCTGTAATTTATTTTGCACTTAGAGGGATTGGAGGGAAGAGAGCACATATACTCAATATGAGTAAGTTTCATCTACCTGCATCTGACAAAATGT